AAAACAAAACAAAACAAACAAAAAAACAACAATGGCTCATCTACTAAGGAGTGATAAATATGGGGATTTCTACTTCTGGCTAATCTACCTCTAACTCGTTTTTTTCACGGATCATTTTTAAAACATAATTATCGTGATTCTTAACTCACTTTGTCTATATAAAGTACAGTACTTTGATGGACAAGATGGAACCTTTCYCGGAAACTGATAGACGAAATATTCCTTGCAGTTTCTTATCCTTACGACAGTTTCCTTAGTACAGCACGTGTCTCCTGTCGCAAAACAGAGTTGACGTTCAACTACCCCTTCCTCTACTGAAGGAAGTTGGCCATTGATCCACCCCATATATTCAGCAGAGCAGGACCATTTTCTTTTTATACACGATCTTGCCAACTGATTTCCAGCATAACCGACCACTCGGTACCATTCGGTGGTGGAAAGATGGTCGTCACAACCTTGGAATATCTCCTCCTCTGCAATGACGTCTTGTCTACGATCTGAATAATTGAGAATTTGGTATCCTTGACATTCTTGATGTACTAAACAATAAAGACTTTAATTACAGAATGCTCTTTAGGGGACTCTATTACTTAAGACCACAGGATGACTGATTCGTACCTGGAATCTTCAGGCATTGTTCCTTCAAATAACTAATCTGAGAAATATGTAGCCTTCGGTTAAAGTTATATAGAGATTTTTGTTCTTTTACCTTTATCTGCAAAAAGAAAATGGCTACTTGTCACTGATCAACTTGCAGCACTCTTAGTTTTTTTTCCAGTCCATCTAGATTTATTCTAGTACATTTCCTTTCGAGAACTACCATCGCCAAATCTTACCTGTAAACTCTCATCCTTTTCTGGAATTGGCAGTTGAATAAATACCCAATCGTTAGTTGGAGTACTGTAGCTCCATTCCTCTATAGTTTTATTTTCTGTTTGGAATACAACTGTAAATTTTATTGCAAGATTCGCCTTGCTGAGGCCTTGGATGTAAAATCGGAAGCATCGCCATCCTTCCGCTTTTGGATTAATGAGCGGACTCGTTAGAGGAGCAAATAATATGAGATTCTCTGAGAAGAGGGTTTTGTACCAATTAAGAATGTACGCTAAAATATAAAATAAAAATGTTTGAAATAAAAGGTTTCACCTTTGGAGGAAGGATTCCCTACAAACAAGAGGGTATATATATATAGCATATATGTAGAAATATATACTACAATCTTCCTGCAATCGAGTGTATATATGATATTGTAGGAAGGTTGTAGTATATATTYCTACATATATACTGATACCTAATTAAATACAAAAACATGAAGAAAAAAAAAGAGAAAAACTCTTTACCCATTCCTTCATTTTTTTTCGAGATGTTTTAACCGTAAAGAATATCAAAAATAGGATTTGAGCGCAATGAGATGTTATTAAATATATGTTAAAGAATTTTTAGGCCAAAAAAGTGAAAACATAAAAATTAATATACTAAATTAAGGTATTAGGATACCTTACGAAAAATGACGATTTGCTCGAAAAAATTTTTTTTTGAAATTTCGTAACTTTAAACTTTTGTTTTTCATATTATTGAAACTTCTTGCAATTTTTGATTGGAAAAGCCAAAATTTTGAGACAAATCGAAAACGTGACTTTATCAAGACCGGAAATGTCCCGTCGCTTGCAATAACGTTGAGTCCAAATGCTCCTTTGTC